TCAGGGGGCCGTACGCGTTACCCGTGGGTACGGGGAAGCTTAATTTAAATTTGCGGGGTCACACGTAGGTGGGTAACGATCCCCTAAATTTTCAGCTTCCTAGCTTTTGTGGTTCCCGAGTTGAAAGTTGCGGACAAGTTGCTGCCCCCTTAAATTTTCAGCTTCCTAGCTTTTGTGGTTCCCGAGTTGAAAGTTGCGGACAAGTTGCTGCGTTAAATTTTCAGCTTCATAGCTTTTGTGGTTCCCGAGTTGAAAGTTGCGGACAAGTTGCTGCGGGAAACGTTACCCTAAATTTCCAGCTTCCTAGCTTTTGTGGTTCCCGAGTTGAAAGTTGCGGACAAGTTGCTGCGGACACAAACGCATACAACAAACACAGACAACCCCGTAACAATATGCGTTTTGTACTGCTGTTACACAGCACAAAACGCATAACAAAAACGAAAAACTAAAACTAAAGTTTTCTTTAGCACACGTCGTGATTTTACTTCAGGTAGTTCTGGAACAAAAGAAAGCAGCTGAAGAAGTTGCTGAAGAAACAGAGAGCTCCGAGTCATCGGAGGAAGAATCGGACGAAGAGGAGGAAGAGTCTAGTGAGGATGAATTGGATGGTCGGGAAAGTAAGGAACAGTTAATGGAAAAAGTCCGAGCGCGTTTGCAGGTTTTTTTTTTATCTTCATTTAAAATTGTTTCGTAATTTGAGCTGAAGTTGTCTCTTATGGCTGATATAAATTTTTTAGAAACGGCGTGAACAGGCTGAGGCCAAACGATCTACGGATAACTTACGTGCTCCAGTGATTTGTGTGTTGGGACATGTGGATACGGGAAAAACAAAGATGCTGGACACTGTATGTTGCCAGTTAATACATCCTTATGTTCTTTTTCAGAATTAATTTGTTTTATTGTGCATTTACGTTAAAAAAATGAAATTTATGTCTGTTTCAATAGATACGGCGGACAAATGTGCAAGATGGAGAAGCTGGTGGAATTACGCAGCAAATTGGCGCTACCCAGGTACCTGCTGCAGCAATCGTGGAGCGTACTAAGATGGTTCGGGATGTAAGTTCGAGTCTACATTTCTCTGATATTATGCTGTCTGTTGATACAAAATATTTAGCTTTCACTTTCTTTCTATTGCCTCGTACTGTTAGCATTTGAACAAATTTCTCAGAGTCTGAATGAAGTTTCACATGTGACTTTTTTAGCCTATATTCTTATTTAAGTGTAAGCAAAAAAATGCAAAAATGCAAGTAGAAATTATTTGCCTCCACCTCTCTAAACTTAAGAGATTGTCATTTCTGTGGAATGGGCAAGCCGATTTTGCCTAAATTGTTTCCGTTGGTCCCCACCCAAGTGCTACCCAGAAAATTTAAATTCAGTTTTCCTCTGCCCGCAGGTAACATGTACGGCCCCGTGAAAATTTTTATATCGGGAACAACGGAGTCTAGGAAGCTGAAATTTTAAGGTTGTGTCCTTCTGCCCACGAACGACCCTGCAATTCCAGATTCGGCGTTCCCGCACTCTTGGGTATTACTTGCAGCCCCGTGAAAATTTCTTGCGAGTAAATTATCTCGGGAACCACAAAGTCTACAGGGCTGAAATTTTAAGGTAATGACATCGGATGTGCTCATTTGCTGAGGAAATATATTGATATATGCGTGAGATAACTGTCTTCACATATATTCATAGTTGTATGTTTAAGAAACTTTTTTTTTTTCAGTTCAACGGAAGTGCGATGAAAATTCCTGGATTTTTAATAATTGACACTCCGGGCCACGAAAGTTTCTCGTAAGTTCTGCTGCTGCCTGCACTCTTCGTCATCATACACATAGTCTTTTAGAGGCTGCTTTTTGGGTCCTGATGGCGTTTGATCGCTTTGCCAAGAGGTAGTTCAGTTGTGTTACAGTGTGCGTGGAATTTATTTAGGTACTAACGCGAGAAGCTGCATTCCAAATCTTTCCAGAATATGTCAAATCCAGCAAAGAGAAGTGAATAGTCCTGAAAAAAATTTCAGCACGCTTTGCCTATGCTTGGTATTTCGAGAAGCTCAAGTCCTCGTTCAGACTTTAGGAAAATTTCTCCCCACTTTTTCTATTACATTTTTTTTCAAGAGCTTTCAATAAATCCAAAAAACTTTAGAAGTCGATCATCATTTGCCAGTGGCCAGAATTTATATTTTAAATCTGCGCAACACGTTTCACAGGGATGAACACCGGTCGTTTTTCAAAGCCAAAAAAAAAAAAACATGTTTTTTAGCAAAATTAATAATATTCTGGTATAAAATCCAGCATCTTATTTTGTATATCTTGAAGCAGACAGTGATACTGGTGCAGTTTTTGTGTGGTCATTAATAACTTCGTTTTCAAAGTCAAGGGATTTTCATTTCCCCTTCAAAAATGTAGTGCCGGCGGGCACATTTTATGAGAGATGCTAGTTCTAAGTTTTTTCTTTGAAACTGCTAGGTGTGATGTGTCCAAAAACTGCATTCCTTTTGTGTTATCTCATCATTCGTTCCATCCATTCCCCTGTAACTCCATGCTTTTCCTGCTGCCTTTCCAGCATTCAGGATTGTTGCACTTATGCGCACGCATGTGTTACTGATTGTTTTGCAGAAACTTGCGGTCACGTGGTTCCGCATTATGTGATTATGCAATCCTGGTCGTTGATCTGATGCACGGGCTTGAACAACAAACACTTGAATCGTTGAAATTGTTGCGAAAAAAAGGGACTCCATTTGTAGTCGCATTAAACAAAGTAATCCACTTTGTGATCTTCACACATTTTTAATCGAATTTTAAATGGGTCTGGACCAGTACTGTTCCCGCTATTTCAGGTTGATCGCTTGTATGAATATCAGTCGAATCCACGGAAAGATATTTTCCAGCACCTAAAAACACAGCCAATCAACACACAGCTTCATTTCAAAGAGTTAAAAGATAAAATTGTGGTGCAGTTTGCTGAACAAGTAAGAACTTCATCGACTGTTTGTGTGGGCCCACTATATCCCATTTTTTGTGAGAGGCCAAGGCATTCCGATGTAGCCCAAGTGATAACACTCTGCTAATGGCAGCCACTCCTTTTGGGCAAGGCTTTCGATGCCTTTTTTTTCGGATGTCGACCAAAAGCAAACTGGTGATGATTCTGACTGCTTGCCCACCCATTTTCAGTCAAAACTGAAACCCGTCAACAAAACTGAATGAACTGTTTTTTACACCAAACAAGATTTCTTCAAGCATTGAGAGTAGCGATATCCGTCACCAAAGATATGCCGATCCACCGTAGTAGATTGAACCAGAGCCTTTTTTTGTTAAAACCTTTTTGAGCCTAAATTAGAACCTTTTTTGAGCCTTTTTTGGGCCTAGGTAAAAGAAATTGAATTTTTCTTTCACATTGTGCAACGCAGTGAACTATCCAGATTTTCATTTTAGTTGTTTTGCAGTTAGCACTCTCTTAATTTGAGACTAAGATCATAGGTAGTTTACGCACAACCTGATTTAATTGATTCGGGTTTGTAGTTCTTCACAATATTGTGGGCGAAATTCTACTTATCTATTTCAATGATATGTATTATCGCTGCTATTTTCTGTTCATCTTATTAATTTTTCCAGCTTGTGTAGAGTAAAAATAGCGTTATATCACTGCTTTTAAGGGGATAAACGTAGCGTTGGCGAACGAAAATCCCGATCCAAGCGAGTATTTCAGTATGGTACCCACTTCCGCATTTCTTGGCGATGGCATTGGTAATGTTATGGCCCATATCGTTAATGAGTCGCAGAACAGGATAGCTGAACAATTGGCATTCTGCGAAGAGCTTGAGTGTACTGTTATGGAGGTAAAGAATTGTATCTTCAGTATCTTCGTTTTCAGAACTATTACTTAATTTTGTAGAGGAGAATGTGCGATTCTTTGTTAATGATAGTGGCAATATCTTACAGTTTAAAGTACCTGTCAGATCCGGCAGAGAAAACCTTCCTAGAATTTTAACTTTTTATTTTTTTTAAAACCCGAATTAAAAAAGTGCCGAAAATTTCCTGCCTGAAGTTTCACGCGTCCCTACATAAGTCATGGGCGTATGTAGAAGCTTATTTTAGAGCTGCAGTTCCGCGCATGAGGAGGAAAAATCCCCCAAAAATTTCAGCTTTCTTTTTTTGTCTGGTATCGAATAAGAGAGCTTCCCACCAAAAATTCCATGTATTCTTACTTGAGATTAGGCATGCGCGGAAATTGGACTTGAATGTACGAAGTCGCACATAGACAAGGAATATCTCAAAATTTCAGCTTCCTACCTTTTCTTTTTGCTGAGATGAAAACCGCGAATGAAAATTCGTACACACAC